TAAATAAGCAGAAAAGTTTAATAATAAGTTTAACAAGCACAACAATTTATCATCCAATTAATAAAAAAAAAGTTATTCAAATTTTAATATATATTAAGAAAATAAGTAAATTCAGGTATTTGTATATTTGAAAACATAGAAATTTTGGAGAAAAACTTTAAAAAAAAAATTAGTTTTTTTTATATATTAGTTGAACATTGAAATACTAAGAACTTTTGGAATTTTGAAAATTTTGATTTAATATTTAAAATTTTGAAAATTTGAAAATTTGGCCGATTAGGCCGCCTAGGACCGATTAGGACCCGTCTAGGACCGATAGAACCGTCTAGCTTCGACTTTGACCCCATTTGACCAAAACCGATTAAGCCGACCGATTAGCCTTAATCCTATTCGGTTGAAGACCGCCTAACGATTAAAACCCGATTAACTAGACCGATTTTTACAATAATAATCTTTAGAAACCGACATCTGAATAACGTCAAGACAGGCGCTTTCGTCACTTTAGTATGGTTGTAACGACTCACATGGAGAATAACAATATTACATTATATTTACGCAAAACATACACTCTACTCATTTTATAAATTACAAAACTACATGTCGACTATTTTTTAAACTAATTTTACCACTCTAGTCTTAGGGTTTTAAGACCACAACTTTTCTTATAACAGAAAATATAGGATTTTCTGGGAACAATTTTTATATAATTTTCAAACAAGGTAAACAAAGAATACACATACAATTATTCATGATTTGAAAACGAGACTCTCAAACTATTTTTACATAAAATATTGGATTTTCTGGAGTTCACAAACTAATACAAAGTTTTTCTTACAAATATGCTTATGAACTCACCAACATTCTATGTTGATACTTTTCAAAACGACTTGTATTCTCAGTAACTCAATAAGTAGGTTGGCAGCTAAGGAACTTGGATAATTATTGTATTTTTGTATTATCATTAAGGCTGTAAGCGAACTGAACATTCGGTGAACATTTCGTGAACCGTTCAGCGGGAAGTTCATTTATGTTCGTTTATTTTATAATTGAACGAACATGAACAAGATATATGGTTCGTTTAGTTAAACAAACGAATACGAACAATGTTCTTGTTCGTTCGTTTACGTTCGTGAACGTTCATTTATTTACGTTTGTTTATTATGATTATTCGATTATATATATATATATATATATATATATATATATATATATATATATATATATATATATATATATATATATATATATATATATATATATATATATATATAGTAGTGTTATGTTTTTGTCGAACAACTAAGTAGAACGTTAGTACTGTATGGAAATATTGAACACATCTTTGTTTTCATTTAAGTTCATGGTTGTTTATTTATGTTTGTTTAAGTTTGTTTGACTTTATGTTCGTTTATGTTTGTTTGTGTTCGTTAATGTTCGTTTGTGTTCATTTATGCTCGTTTATCATGTAAACGAACGAGCATAAACGAACACGAACACGGTAAATTGTTTAACGAGCGAACACAAACATAAAAAATTAGTTTGTTTAGTTGTTCTTGTTCGTTTGTTTTTCGGTTAAAGTTAAACAAACGAACATGAACAAGCCTCGATTCGTGTTCGTTTTGTTCATTTACAACCCTAATTATCATACCTTATGTTATTTTGGATGTATCTTCATAAACAAACACAAAGTTGTAAACAACACATGTTGATATCGTTAATGTATGATGATGATGGTTGCTATGTTTCATTCATATTCAATTGTTATGATATTACAAGATGAAGTTACCCGCCCCCGGACGTTTCCGAATCCCAGATGGGGGGTCACACTAACAACAACTTGATATAATTGATTATTTATTCAAATTTGATTTTAATAAAACTCTTATAATTAAATTAGAAATTATTATTTCATGGAAATAATAATTTTTATTAAAATCTTATTGATTCAATGATAAATTGTTATTTATTAACTTACAAAAATATATAGTGTACCTTAAAATGCACAATTAAACCAAGACAATCATAAAATATTTTCCTTGATAGGGTCAGAAAGAGGATTTTTATTTTCCTACACTATTAGAAAGGAGAAACATTGGAACAAAGCATCAAGATGTTCATACCTTCTTGTACCTCGATCTTTATTCCCTCTTCTAAAATCACATATCTTTCGATAGCATTAGCTAATTTCCCCTATAAAAAGGGAAATTTTAGCATCTACGAGTGTAACTACAATCTCTAATAAGTTGTGGCTAAATGATGATTCAAATATCTACAAGTGTAACTACGACGGTGGATCTTGACGGATAAATGGTTGTCTGATAGTAGCAGATGATGCATATGTCGATAGAAGTGCAGTCGACAATAATGTTTCTAGAAACCAAAAATGAAGAGAGCGACATGCGTCAAGAATGGGTGGAGGGCGGCAACGGTGCTCCAACATTCCACCGAGAGAAGAGAGAAAAGATGAAGTTGGTATATTAAAAGAGAAATGGATGAATAATGTAAGTTATTACTTATTAAGGGTTTTCTTTTTCCTTTTTTATTTTTTTAATTTAAAAAATATTTCAATAAATAAAAAATGGAAAAGAAAATAATATAAGCAAAATAGTTTGACTAAATTTGGAACTCTCATACACGTCAAAAAAGACCTTTTGTAATATTACAATAACCAAATTTACAATTTACTAAAAATAACATTAAACCCTGTTCTATTAAATTGTTGTGGTTAACGATACGTTGTAATTTACATAAACCTATTTATTACAGACAAAATTACAAGAATGGTTCCTATGGTATGTTAAAACTAGTAAGTTTGGTCCAAAATGAGTTTGGCTCGCAAGAATGGTCCAATAGTTTTATTTTGTTGCGAATTTAGTCCAAAAAATTTAAAACTTTTTATAATGATGCATTTACCCTTGTTATTTTCCCTTTTTATTTTTTTATTAAAGAAATCAAAAAAAGAAAAAGAAAAAAAATAAAATCTCTCTCTCTCTCTCTCTCTCTCTCTCTCTCTCTCTCTCTCTCTCTCTCTCTCTCTCTCTCTCTCTCTCTCTCTCTCTCTCTCTCTCTCTCCAGAAGACAATCTACAAAACACCATCATCATCTTTTTTACATATCTTCATCTTCTTTAAAAATCAAAATCATACCCCTGATACATTTTGGGTTTTTTTTTATCAAGAACTCCACATACAAATATATACACACTTAAGAATACTCTTTATAATCAATCTAGAAATCATCAATAATGGATTCACCCACCTGTAATGTCATCGACACCCCTTTACTTCCATTCGTCCTTCAAGCTTGATAACAATCATAGATCCAAAGGGTTTGTGATGTCGAGATCTTATGAGGCCCTAGTTATTGTGTTAAGCCATCAACTGCCCTGCCTCTTGTGATCTGCTAATGAAGTCATCGATTCCACCATCATCACAGATAGGCTAAACTAATGTCATTACCACCTCTGATGAGGTTTCCGACCCAAATCTGGAAGGTTTGTTCCCTCCGACAACACCTCTAAAATACATGAGAGATAGAGATATCTGATTTTATTGTGTGTGTATGTTCATCTGATTGTGTGTGTGTTTGATCTGATTTTGTGTGTGTTCATCAGATATGGGTGAACTCAAGAACAGACTATAACCGATGCCGTCAGAATCCTTTCCTCGACCTCCCTTTCATCTCCAACTCATATATCCATCGTTTCTCACTTCTCTAGAGAAGAGAGCCACTACAGTCGACTGTGGCAGCTCCTCAGCCTCCCCCTATCGTGACCCACCACCATCCAACATCCCAAATCCAAATCCGCAATGGGTGTTCTTCGTTCTTGTTTTGGATCTGAAATAAAACCCAAATCCAAAAGTTGAAAGTAGGTATGTTCTTGGTTCCAAATTTGAAACGAAGATGAAGAAGGGTAGATCTGAAACAAAATCCATACACAAAACCATACCTGAAATGAAAACCCACCATCGATTCGAACAAAGGCAGATCGACGGGAGCCCCGATGCGGCTGGGAAATCGTGATGAGGTGCAAGGGGTCCGTCGAGACCGACGACCCTCTGTGGGTTTACTCTTCGTCTTCACTGATCGGGAGAGGGAAGAAGGATCACGAATGGAAGTAGTCAAAATGGTGGTCTGGTGATCAAACAGATCGCGAGAAGGGAGTCGATCTCCGACGAACTCCCATTGGTTCTCCTCTGGTCGTCGGTGGCCACAAATCGAGGGGGGGAAAGGGAAACGACTGGATCGAAAGGAGAAGGAAGAAGAACGGAAGCAAAACAGAGGTGGTTCTTGGTTGTTCTTCTTCCGGAGAGAGAGAGAGAGAGAGAGAGAGAGAGAGAGAGAGAGAGAGAGATTTTATTTTTGTTTTATTTTTAATTGGTTTTAATTGTTGTAATAAAAGAAAATTGAAAAATAAAATAATAAGAAGCAAATCCATCATTATAAAAAAGTTCATAGGATATTGGATTAAATTCGCAACAAAAAGAAACTATTAAACCATCCTTACAAGTCAAACCCATTTTGGACTAAAATTGCTAAACCCATTTTGGACTAAAATTGCTAGTTTTGACATACCAAATGGACGATTCTTGCAATTTTGTCTTTATTATATCTGAATATATGAAATTTTAGGCACAAACGCTATTCGCTTAAGTGGCTAAATGCCAGTTTTCATTTGATTTATTAGGTTCAAATCGTTTTCATTTAACGACTAAAGATCGGGTTTCAGTTACCAATTATCACTTCTTCAAACCTTCATCTGTCAATAACTACGTAATTCACTGAAAAAAAAAAACTGAGATTTGGAGAATATTTTCTATTAATTATAAGGGCAGTCAGTAAAGGTAAAAAAAGATAAAAACCAAAAAATAAAAATAAAAATAAAGCAAAAAACATAACCCTAAATTAATGATACAAATAACTAGGTGTTAGTACCATCTTCTGTCAACTTCTGCCACCCCACCCCCTTCCATTCAACTCTCACTTTACCCCCTCCATTCAAATCATTCCATTCCAAAAATGGGTGTCTGAAAAACTGATAGATTTTGCTTGGCAGGTTGATTTGAGTGAAAAGACTGTTCTATCCAGTTTCCATAACTTGATCCATTCAACCCTACAGGGGCACCCATGGGAACTGTTGACCCATTACTTAAAGCAACTACAGTACCATTATTGTTCTCCTGTTGAATAAACCCTCCTCCATGGTAATACCCATTGTTGCTTGTAGTACTTGTACTCGAAGGGTATTCCATGCTGTATGGTGTTGTACCTTGGTATGATGTCATGCCTTGGTTTTGGTTGTACCCTAAGACCGAACTCCAATAATCTGTTGATAGATCTTGTTTCATTGGCATCGCAAAGCTAACAATATTAGTGTTTGTTTGTTCATCAGCAGGAGATTGATCGATTGAAGTCTTGGATTTGCTACTCATGCCTCCAATTGGGAGGTTTTTGTTGGCAATACTATTTACATCATACCGGCTCATGTCGAAATTTGTGACCGCGTTTAATCCACGGAACTTGATGGCGGCGATGTCATAGGCCTCCGCGGCTTCCTCTTGTGTGCCTATAAAAACACAATAACATTATAAAATATAATATGACAGTCAGCCAACCAGTCTCACAGCCAACATTAATCTACAGTGTCCTTGGATGGACCTGAGACCGCTCTTGTTGATGATATTTGTTTTTTCAATCAATGATTGCATGCGATTAGTCTGAAGAAGTGGGGCTCACCGAAGGTTCCAAGATACAGATCTTTGTTACCGGCTACTCTTCCTATTCTTGCTTGCCAACGTCCGTGTTGATGGTGCCTGTGTTTCAAAAAAAGTTGGAACGGAAAATTATTCGGGTGTGGCTCGATTAAAACGGTAATAATGCGATGATAATAATAATTATCAAAATAATATTAAATAAATATGTTAATAATAATAATAATTAACACATTTGTTGTGATAACAAATTAAGGACAAAAGGTATGTTTTTATATCTAACTTTATAGCTTGGGTTGGAATATCGAGTTTGCTTTATGTTTAAAGTAGTATGAGATAGATTTCATTTTTAAATATTAGTGTTGTTAATTTATTTTGCTTTTACATTTATGAATCTTATCTCTAATATCTTATATTTATGTTCTTTCTATTTTAAAAAATAAATAGTTATATAAGTTACTAATAGCCTATATATACATTAAGTTTAAAAATACATTATAAAGTAAAGTCAATATTATATTCATTTTAAAGGTCTTAATTAGATCTTTCTCTTAAAAGGATTTTTTTTTTGTAGTCCTTTTATTTTCTTAATTTTCCGATCTCAAATTAAGATGTCAAAATATGTGAGTTAAAAAGTATAATAGCAAATAAGTTTACCTTGTGACACCTCTATAAATAGAGGCTCCTCTAGAAAAGCCACTGCTTTTCCTGCAAAATTTATCGAGAATTATGAGAGACTATTTACCCATAATCAAAAGTGTGTGATTATACAAACACTTTAAGGCTCGAAACCCCACTTCAAATGACTTAATCTTTTTAAATAACGATGTATACATAAAATGCTAAATCAATTAACTAATTACCTTCTAAGTGAAGCAACAAATTCTTGCCTAGTCATGTTCTTCATTTCTTCAAGCTCTTTCTCATAGTTGCAAACCTAAATCATCCATAACGTATATATACAAAGAAATAAATATAAAGGTCTATATTTTCTCTATGATCAAAACAAAAACCCTAATTTAGGTATATTATTTCTTACAGGAAAATTTGTTGTGGTGGTCGGACCCCAGTATTTGAGGGCTGCAAGATCATAAGCTCTAGCTGCTTTGTCTTCCTTATCATATCCACCTAATTAGTGAAACACATAAACAAATATAATCAGAAACTAGTAACATACAACACGTTCATCTTAAATTATACGACATCCGAAATGAAGAGAATCACGTGACAATGTAATTAGAAAGTTTCGACCATTTAGGAAACTTGAGATAATTAAATAAAGATTGATCAATAAAAATAATCAAAAAGATTAGTCTATAATGCAATTTGCATGCAGTAATGATCGAAGAACAAAGTCATAATGAGTAAAACATGAAAAAGGAAAACTCACCCAAGTAAACTGAAGATTCATCCATCAATCAGTACATGCAACAAAATCAAAGAGACAGAATGATTAAGGTTAAGATTCTTGAACAGACTATGAAAATGCGCACGATAGCATAAACCGCCATACAGTAGTTATCTACAATAGCAAGCGCCAGTAGTTTTACGGAAACCAGAAAATCTGAGCCGTTGATCGTTTGGTTCTTTTCTAGGGATAAGAACCTTATTTTTATAAATGAAATAAACTGATCGGGATGACTCAGATCTTTGGTATGTATAACGGTGTATGTTAGTCGGTATAGTTTGCGCATGTTAGATACCATCGTTAGTCATGTATCCTTCTTTACCTTGTCTTCCTTTCCTACTTTGGCCTTCTCTTCTGCAACTATTATCCCATAAATGAGCTTCATATCTCCCCGTCCATCTATGCCTTCAACATTTTATGCAAAGATTTAATCTTTATGAAAAAAAATAAAGTATTTTTGCAAACAAAATAATTAAATTTTTTATAAAGATTCAACCTTGTAACGCCACGGTAAATGGAAGTTCGTTGGCCGAAGGTATCGACGGCTTTTTTCGCCGGAGAGTTATCCTGCTTCAGTGGTGTAGGAACCACCGCCAGCTGCTGCTGATGGTTGTCGGTGGAGAAATCACGGAGGAAGCTAGTGGCGATGGTCTTTAACTCGGAGTCATAAATCGATGTGGTGTCATGGGGCTGCATAGAGGCTTGTGATTCATCTTGGAAATGACAAACGTCGGGACCAGATCCATTAGAGGCGGCGGAGCCACAGCCGCCGAGGAAGTCTTCCAGTTTTGGGCTACCGTCGGTGAGAACAGACAAGTCATGATGGGTGGTTGTTCCGATGGCATCGCCTTCATCTGCAAAAGATTAAACAACAAGATTAGATATTATCTTTTATGTTCATTCGATGATGTGGCTGTGAAGTTCTAGAGAGAAAGAGAAAAGGGAGTACGATGATGGTGGAAGGCGGTGGCGTGTGGCTGTTGGAAGAGACTATTGGTATTGGAAAGAGAGAAGGCAAGCCAGTTGTTGTTTAGATTCTGATGAGATTGAGAAGTATCCATGTTCATAGTTTCTTGATAAGTGTGTGTGTGAAACAAAGAGTTTGATTTTTTCTTCTGTGTCACTGAGTTTTTTCTTTGGGAAACAGCGTTGCTTATGTAATTTTATGTGTGTGGAGAGAGAGAGAGCAGAAGCATAATAAATATTTTACCATAAAATTAAATATCTAAATACTTTCATAGTGTTATACTGTAATTTAATTAGTTTAGTGTAACACCATCTATCAAAGTATTTAGATATCATTTTTTCATTAATTTTATGGTTAAATATTTATCTATGCTTTGTCATTCTACTTTTTTTTTTTTTCTCAATTCATACAACATTAGCTTTTATACAAAATATACAATGACATTTTAAGATACGATCAGATCATTCAATAGTTTTAATTTATTTTAAAATACGATCAAATCATTCAACAGTTAAACTAAAACCCTTTTCTCTTTGCAAATAAATATTCACTCAACATTAGCTTCTACATAAAATATGCTATAACATTTTAAATATATGGTAAATGTCACTATAGTCCAACCAACTTTTCGGTTTTGTTTTAAAAGATCCCTTACATATTTTTTTGGTAGTATAGGTCCTTAAACTTAGAATTGACTTATCAAAAAAGGTATTGAATTTTATTTTTCCCGGTTTTACCGGTTAAATTTGGATTAAATGTCATTTTCACTTTTGGATAAATAAATAAAAAAAAAAAGGAATTAAAACACACACACACACTCTCTCTCTCTCTCTCTCTCTCTCTCTCTCTCTCTCTCTCTCTCTCTCTCTCTCGCGCGCGCGCGCGCGCGCGTATTATCAACACGAAGAAGATAGATCGATAGCCACATCCAAATTCCTCTTGTTTCGGTGAATCCGTATCGTGAAACCAAAATCTAAAACATGTATTCACTGGTATCAAATTCATCTAAATTGGAGGCTTCATCTGAATCTCCGAATCAGAGGTCCACCGACCCCAATAGAAACCCTTCCCTTTGTTGACCGCTCACCGCCTGCTAAGTTTCATCTTCATCGCCTTGTTTGTTTCAGTACAGATCCATGTAAGTACAAAAGTAAAAGAAGTCGGTGGATCGTTCAGAACCAGACCATTGTTCTAAAGGCGATGTCTCTCCCTCATCTCTTTCTCACTTTCTCCTTCACTACTATATCACATGAACCCTACCAATTTCAAATAGGATTCAAGTTCATTAGGACACATCCCTATAATATCCTTACCTTACCAAAAGATTATGTTGCCACAGTGACCATAAATCACTTCATCGATTTCTACCACCCTTACCAAACTTCAACATCCGTCTCCCCATCTGCACCTTCACCACCTAATCAATCAATAATTTACACCCTCAGAAGACAATCTAGCCACTAACAAACATCATTTTCATTATCAAAATTTCTATACTAACCACACACCCTCAGAAGATGTTGTTGTCAATAATGAGGATCCACATGACGATACAATGATAATGAAGGAAAGTACGTCGACTGATGCATCAGGTTCCATCGGAGAAGAAACCATAGTCGTCAGAATGGTTGGAATCTCCGGAATGGAAGGACTCGTTGAGCTCGCTTGAGAGTCAATACCCATTTCATTGATTTAATGTAAGAGGTTAAGAAGTTGATACTCGTTGAATCGATTCTCTAGTTTGATCCCTAAAGACTTTATCTTCATAACCACCACTGAGATTTGTTTTTTAGAGATCTGATCAGACCCTGAACAATCACTTGCATTGGCAGATTCGATGACTGCTGACAAAACCCAAAAAAATAAAACTTATAGCCGTAGAGTGCACCTATAGAGTCCCGATGAGGTTCCAATCTTAAGTTGTTTGAGGAAGATGGGTGGTTGGATTCCGTGAATGGGGAGCAACAAAAAACTATGTTGAAGAAGAAGAAGATGAATGATTTTAGTTTTATTTCTTATTTTTAGTGAAAAAATCATAGTCATTAGGAAACCTAAAATTACAATGTTGATGTGGGTGACACATCAGCTTCAAACGTAGAGGTGGCATAAGCAACCGGTTTTCAACGGTGAAAGGGACCAATTAAACCGGTCAGCACACACTTTGTGACCCTAAAAAGCAAAAAATTAAGTTTAGGGATCATTTAAACCAAAATCAGTAAGTTGGTTGGGCTACAGTGACATTTACCCTTAAATATATAGCCATATAAACGCCTGAGATTTACAAGCCCTTGTACCAAAAATTTCCACAACTCTTCTCCCACCCTAAATTAGTTTACATTCAAATTTCAGTATATTTGCTCGGAATATTAGGAGCGATTAAGGCAATAACGATGTCCTCGTCTTTGTTTTGGCGTGCGGTTAATTTGTCATTGTCTTATGTGTCCGCTAAATTTCTATCTATGTACCCATCTTGACTAATCTATCTTTTTAACCTAGCTAGCCGATTTAAAGTCTCTAGATTATTTCTTTCACAAAATATATATGAAGAACCCATGTTATTCGTGTCTTTTTTTAAGGAACTCTCAAATTCTCTCTATTGATTCTTCAAGACCGGTTATAAGTTCATGGTTTCTTCCACACTTTAACTAACTTTGACGACACCCATTAATCCATCTTTGATTGGTCCTATAATTTGAAAGAATTGGCGTATGCAAGCATATAAATAAGGGTTTACCTTTGGAGTTCAAAATAGAAATCCCCATTTTTGGGCCTGAGTATTTGTGCCAGAAGGGCAAATATTGTTGTAAAGTTTCAAGATCTTTATAGGTTTATTGTAGAAGGTAACGTTGCTCAATGCTCATATGAAAGTGTTAGATGCCAATAAGGAAAAGGTGAGAAAATAAGGAAAGTTAGTGGCAATAATTTTGGCATTTATGGACTTATGTTGCCCTTAAATCTCCTTTAGGTTTTCTATATCAGTTAATACAATGACTTTACATAAGGAGTTTTTGACCATATTGGGGTGGTTGAAAAAAAATATTTATCATTTTAGTGTTCTTTTAAAAGTATTTACCATTTTAGTGTTTTTTTCATTTTTCTTTACTTTTTAGTTTCATATTTAGTTTTTTTTTTTTTATTTTAAATATCTTATTTTTCTTTTTTTCTCTTTTATTTCACCCTTTTTATTGTTTTTTATATTTTTTTTATGACAACTTTCATTTTAGTTTTTTTTACCCTTTTTTTACTGGTTTTTTAAATAAATGTTTTTTTTAATCTTTTTCTATTTTTTTCAATATCCAGTTCTCTTATACAATATTTTTACCATCAAATTCTAGCCTCAACATTAAAAAAATCATCAAAAGTCACCATTATAATCAAATTTTAAGGTGCAAAAATTCCAATATTTACATACAACGTTTTTAAAGTGAAAAAAAGACACATCAACATTGTTTCTTACAAATAAACACTACCAAAAAAAAAAAAAAAAAAAAAAAAACCTCCAACATTGTTTATTACAAAAAAAAAAACATCACAACTAACCTGACCTTGAACCGGTAAAAAATCATTACTTAAAAAAAAAAGAGAATAACCACAACAAATAACATATATATATATATATATATATATATATATATATATATATATATATATATATATATATTACCTTGGCATAGACGGACATCGTTTTTGATTATGTCTCGGTTGCCTACAAATTCCACAAAGATTGATATTTATTCCTCCTTTAATATCCATGAAATTTTGTAGTTTTGTTGAACGATGATGATCTTTTTTATTTCGTAAAGTTCTAAATTTGAAAGTAATTCATTAAATGATGATTGTGGCTAATACACTTCATGAGGAAGCGGGGAGAACTCAGATGCCCAAGTAGCATAATAGTATTTAATCGAGTAACATCTATCAACATATGGCCAACTATTCAAAGAGTGTTTGTCACATGCACCCAAGGCATGAAAACAAGGATACTTAAATGCTTCTCATTTACCACATGTGCAAGTTTTTTGTTCCAAAGTAACTACTTGCACATTTCGACCTCTTTGAGTTATCAACTAAAATATACCTTTTTCTCGGTTAAAATATCTTAAGGAATGTGTCCTTGCTTTTTCCATAGCCCAATTGTTCAACTATTTCAGCTCTCAAAGTCGGAATACTGATAGAAGGTTGCTCTTTTATAAGGTGTCTAGTTTCCATAGGAATCAAGCTTGCATGTAGGTTCGGATGGTCTAGAGAAAGCTTATAGTGTAAACAAGTGTACGGACCCATATACGCTGTGATTTCAAAATAACCACTACGTTTACGTTTACTTACATGAAGTTTCCATTTGCAACCAGACTGTAAGTACAACTTGCATCTTAGAGTCAAAATAGTTGGGTGTGATTCAATGACCTCAAATTGTCTATGTGCCTTAATGTTATGGATCTTGATTGCTCTAACAAGTTCATATTTATCCTTGAAAGAATCTTTTCCAAACTCTCGCGTAAAATCATTCTTACTCGTTGATTGTGTCATAATCCAATTTTCATCAATAGTCAAATTTGTTCCTTCCATATTAGTAAAAGTTGAAGGTAATTCAACATTATTGTCAAAAGATGCTTCATCATTATCTTCATCACCAATTCCATCTTCTAATATTTCATTTAACTCAACATCATTGTCTATATTCATCACATTAGTCACAACAACAACTTGAGAAATTATAGAAAAATTATCATTGTCAATCATATCTATAATATAATTCATTTGCAAACAAACAAAAACAAGCATAAATTGATCAAAAAATGATCATATGAATTTGTGATAAGGAGAAAAAATAAACATAATAAATGGTTTGCAATCAATTCCATCAAAAAAAAAAGTTGTGTGACGATGGAGGAGGCAAAATCGAAATAGAAATTAATCAAAACAATAATCAATTCCATTTACAAAAGCAAATAATTAAAACAGAAATTGATCAACAATTCATCCTAACTAGAAGCAAAAGCGAGATAAATAAGAATAGAGAAGCAAAAAGCAATTAGAAACTTAATAATCGGAATCCAGAAGCAACAGAAAACTTAAGAATCGGAATCAAAATCGATAACTTCGCATACCTTGCAGGTCGCCGGCGACGATGGAGGAGGCGCATGCGGCCGGCGACGGATAG